GAAGAAGCCCTGGGGGGAGTAGTGGGCTGGAATTCTTTTGCTCCAACCCCTTAACTCCCACCTCCCCTCTGCCCGGTAAATGTTTGAAAGGTGGAGGCTGGACAAAGGGCAGTGGTAGGGCCTAATGCTGGCTACTTTTGGCAAGGGGCCTTGCATGATTGGTGCTTGTAAAATTTTGCCGTCTGTTTCCAGGTGTTTAGTGAGGCTTTGGCGAAGGAGATTGACTGACTGATTTATTGTCAGTGAAGTGAGTTTACATCTACAGTAAAACTCATAAACTGATACAAGTAATTGAAACTCTAATGGAATATTTCATTTGGTTTTTGGAAAAGTTTAATCGGACCCCATCTTGAACAGCCTTCAGATTTAGGCATCAAATCTCAGTGGTATACACTGCCACATTTATTAAAATACGACTAGGGAGTGAAAGTGTTGAATTGTGAGGACCAGTTACACACCTTTGCTTGGATATAGAAAAGTGATGGCTCATTGGATCCATATTTAAAATGTAGATAAAGCCACAGCTGATTTGACTGCCTTTTGTGCACTCGATGTGAATCATCTTCCCATTAAAATGTTAGATTGAAGTTTTTAGTTAGCTTTAACTTGGGTAGCTCATTTCTCATTGACCTTGAACTGAGTGACTCCCCATAGGTACAGGGGAAGGTATATTGTATTGCAACTCCACCTCTTTCCTTTTGAAACCACAGTGGTACAGAATCATCTGAGATTATTGGTTTGGAGTATGCACCCACATGAGTATGGTTTTAACTGTTCAGAAAGATCTGTGCCAACCGTCAGTTCCACTGTCTTCCAGCCCACAGAGAGCTCAAGCTGAGATGGCACTTTATCAAAAAAAAAGGACATGCAGCCAAAGTAATTGCAGCTTTCTGAAAGAAATGGCCAAGTTACATTCCTCTCCATTTTAGAGGGCTGTTCAGAGTTAACCACATGACTGAGAGTCTGGAGTTGCACGTAGGCCAGATAATGTAAGAATGGCAAGCACCTTCCCTAAAGGACATTCAGGAGCCAGATGGGTTTTTGAGTGGTAGTCTCATGGCCGCCATTACTGAGATGCGATTTCATTCCAGAATTACTAATTGAGCTTAAGGTACAGCAGTGACCATGGTTATGTTTTGAACCCCGTCCCCAGAATGTTAGTGTGGAGCTCTTAAATTGCTAGTGCAGTGGTGGTACTGCAACACTGCTGTCTCCCCATGCGTGCCAGACCAAGCAAGGAGAGTCAGTTTCCTAACCTAGAAAACCCCATGTGGTCCATTGATTTTCTCTTAATGACATGATTGCCATTACTGGGGTGGACAAACAGGACATGAGACTGAGCCTAGGGAGAGTTAAAAAATCCAGAAGACACAGGATGGGTGCTTGAGAAGCAAGGCTTGGTGATGGGGTCAGGGTGGCAAGGGGGTGGTGGTGAGAACAGGAGTGATGAAAGTGAGGTTGCAAAGTATTGACGAGAACAACATTTTGAACAAAGTAACGTTGACCTACTGAAACTGTAAATTGGAGGTAATGTATGTGAGAAACAAAAACAGAAGCTGCTGGAAAAGCTCAGCAGATCTTGCAGCATCCGTGGAGAGAAATTAGTTAACGTTTTGCATCGAGTGACCTTTCTTCAGAAGGTTCCCTGAGGAAAGGTCACTAGACCTGAAACGTTAATTCTGCTTTCTCTTCAGATACTGCCAGACCTGTTGAGCTTTTCCAGCAGTTGATTTACAGCATCCACAGTTCTTTTGGTTTTTACTTAACGAATGTGAGGTTTATCATGTAAGGCTGCAGAAGTTACAGAACTACTAAATGGGGGAAAGATGTAATGGATGCAAATGTAGTGAATGCTGTCAAGTGGATAAATTAATGCTGAACACTTTTTTTGATTTTATTTTGAAGACTTGTATTTGTCTGTATATTTACCTCATACCTAATTGTGAATTGCATTATGTGCAGTAACCGTTGGAGGCAACAGTGTAGCTGTGGTGTATGTCGAAGTTGTCAAAATAGTTGTAAATCTGCAATAATAAAGAAACAAATAGAAAAAGTATGAAATTGAATTAATGTAATTTAATGCAGCATCTATCAGGGCTTTGCAATGCAATGACACATTTGAAATCTAGTCAATGCTGTAATTCGGGGAAAGCTTACAAATCTGCTTCTGTAAAGATCTGCCCCCATATATGGTCATATCATTGTCTTAATAGTGTAAACGTTCCCACACCATGTGTAAACCAAACATCTATCTTAGAATAATTTTCAAATTTGAAAAAAAAAATGTAGGGAGTAGGCCATCTGGCTGCTTTGCCATGACTTCATGGCTAATCATTGACTTAAATTCCACTTTCCTGATTGATCTTCTGATATTTTGATTCTTAGTGTTCAAAGCATTATCCACATGAGCTCTGTTCTCTCTAGATAGAGAATTCTCTAGGATTTTCACCCCAATGAGTGAAGAAATTTCTCCTTGTCTCCATTCCAGAAGGCAACTAGGCATGCTGAGACAATGTCCCCAATTTGTAGACTCTGGAAAACCAACCTCCAAGGCATCTATGCTATCAAACCGTACCAGAATTTTGTTTTGTTGAGTCGGATTTTCTCAGCACAGAAACAGGCCCTTCAGCCCAACTTGTACGTGCCAACCAGGTTTCCTGAACTGAACTGGGCCCACTGGGCCCACTTGGCCCATTTCCCTCTAAACCTTTCCGATCCATATAACTATCCAATATTGTAATTTATACCTCAGCTACCACTTCTGGCAGCTCATACCATTTTATGCACTACTCTCCGTGGACAAGTTTCCCCTCGGGTTCCTTTTTTTTTAAAAATCTTTCTCCTCTCACTTTAAACCTATCCCCTTTAGTTTTGGACTCCCCTACCTTAGGCAAAAGACCTTGGCTATTCACCCAATGCATGCCCCTCGTGAATTTATAAATCTCTGTCACCCCTCAGCCTCCTACGTTCTAGGGAGAGAAAGGTCCTAGCATATCCAGCCTCTCCTTTATAATGCAAACCTTCCAGTCTTGGTAACATGCATGCAAGTATTTTTGCACCCTTTTTCGGCTTAATGTTCTTCCTATAGCAGGGCAATCAGAATTGTAAACATTATGCCAAATGTGGCCTTACCAATGTCTTGTACAGCAGTAACATGACTTCTCAACATCTGTACTCAATGCTGTGACTGAAGGAAGTGTGCCAAATGTTGCCTTCACCACCCTGTCTACCTGTGGCACAACTTTCATGGAACTATGTATCTGCATCCTTAAGTCTCTGTTCAACAACACTTCCCAGGGACCTACCGTTAGCTGTATAAGTCCTGCCCTGATTTGCCTTGCTAAAATGCAACCCCTCGCATTTATCAAAATTAACTCCATCTGCCATTCCTCAGCCCACTGGCCCTGTTGATCAAGATCCTATTCTATGCTTGTATAACAACCTTCACTGTCCACTATACCCGCAAACTTAGTAACCATGCCTCTTATCCTTATCCAAATTGTTTCTATAAATGATGAACAACAGTGGACTCGGCGCCAATCCTTGTGGCACACTGCTGGTCACGGGCCTTCAGTCTGAACAACAGTCCTCTACCACCACCCTGTCTCCTATCAAGCCAATTTTGTATCCAGTTGGCTAGCTCTCCCTCGATCCTATGTGATCTAACCTTACTAACCAGTCTACCATGCAGAACCTTGTCAGAAGCCTTGCTAAAATCCATGCAGATCATGTCTACCATTCTGACTTCAGCTATCTTCTTGGTCACCATCTCTTCAGAAAAACTGAATCCAGTTTGAGAGACCATTTTCCACTCTGAAAGCTGACTATTACTAAAAGTCCTTGCTTCTCCAAATGTATGTAAATCCTATCTCTCAGAATCCCCTCTAACAACTTACCGAGCACTGATGTCAGGCTCACCAGTCTGTAATTCCTTGGCTTTTCCTTGCTGCCTTTCTTGAATAATGGCACATTTAACCACCCTCCAGTCTTCCAGCACCTCACCCATGGCTGCCAACAATATAAATATCTCTGGGGCCCTGCAATTTCTTCCCTAGCTTCCCACAATGTCCTGGGGGTTTGTCTGCCTATGTGTTTTAAGACCTCCAGCACCACCTCTTCCATAATGTGGACTCTTTTCAAGACATCACTGTTTATCTCGAAGCTTCCATGTCTTTCTCCACAGTAAATACTGATGTGAACTGAAGTTTAGGATCTCGTCCATCTCCTGTGATTGCACAAATAGATGGCCTCATTGATTGCTAAGGGAACCTGTTCTCCCCCGAAGTTTTTTGCCCTTTTAATATAATTGTAGAATCTCTTTGGATTTTCCTTTACCCTATCTGCCAAAGCTGTCTCGTGTTCCCTTTTATTTTGCTTTTGCCCTCCTGATTTTCCTATTGTGTAGTCCTACACCCCCTATACTCAAGGGATTTGAGATCTCAGCTGTCTATACCTGTCGCATGCCTCCTTTTTTTCTTGACCAGAGCCTCTCTATTTCTAGTCATCCAGTGTTCCCTACTTCTGCTGACCTTGCCGTTCACACTAACAGGAACATGCTGGCTCTGAACTCCTGTTACCTTGCTTTTGAAAGCCTTCCACTTGCCTGATGTCCCACACCTTGCAAACGGCCTCCCCCAATCAACTTTTGAAAGTTCCTTCTAATACCATCAAAATGAATGAGATTAGTTCTCATTGTTCTAAGCTTGAACATATTTAGCCTATTGTGCTCAATGTCCCTTTGCAAGGCAAGGCTGTCATTTCAGAAATCCTCCATACAGTGAATCTGTTTTGGTTGTACCCCCTCCTCCCTAGGATACATTGCACTGTCACAAGCACAGACTAAGTCAACAATGGTGGCTTCTGAATTCTGGCCTTTTTGGAATCCAGTTCTGACGTAAAAGTCAATGTCAGGATCTTCTAGCAATTCCTGCCTTGGTCATGGGTGATGGTTGCTCATTTAACTAACAATTGTAATTTCAACGTGTGTTTTTATCTTTCAGGGCAGGATGGTTTTGACCTTGCTGATGCTTTCAAAGATGATCCCACTAAAGCCCCAGGTATGTATAATGAATAACTTTTTTTTTCTGAAGGAGGATCCAGACCTGAAACGTCAGCCTTCCTGCTCCTCTGATGCTGCTTGGCCTGCTGTGTTCATTCAGCTCTACACCTTGTTATCTCGGATTCTCCAGCATCGGCAGTTCCTACTATCTCTGAATCAATTAATCATATGTTAGGAAGAAATTTACCCATACGTCAAAGCTAAGATCCACCAGAAATAGGGTGTGACCCTCAAATGTGTGGTAATTGGGATCGTCTGATACATGTAGTCAAAGTACATGTGTTAGTCTGCAATGACAAGACAATCAAAACAGAAGAAGCTTGCTGGAAATCTCTGCCTAATGGATTACCACCAACCCCCGTCCCTGTCCCTGCTTAACAAACGTGGATAAGATATTAGAATAGCCATTTTGAGAGTCTATTAAAGAGATCCTTGAGTGCAATAGTGTATGGCAAGATTTTATTTTATTTCTTTGAATGGATTGAGCCTTAAAGGAACCTACATTAACTTCTCGGATAACAAGGTGCAGAGCTGGATGAACACAACAGGCCAAGCGTTTCTGGAGAAGGGTCTAGGCCCGAAACGTCAGCCTTCCTGCTCCTCTGATGCTGCTACATTAACTTATCTTTTGCTGTAAATGCTAGTTTTTTTTGTTTTTAAGCAAACAAAAATGCCCTTGTGCTCCATTTTGTTTCAGACTCTTCTACCTTTTTAAAGTCTGCACCTGAAGTTTAAATCCACTTTGTCTTGGGTTTTCCCTTTTTGAAATTTGCTAAATACTTGAGATCCTCTAGCTATTGAGTTAGGAGAATGCCTATGATGGCACTGACACTAATTTTGTACAATAGTCCCAGTAGGCTTCCAATGGCTACTGAGTGCCATTTTGGTACAGCCAGTAATATTTTTGCCTCCAGGTTAGTGAGACTGGTTTTGGGGTCCATTCTCCATTTGAGGAACCAACTGGTTATGAGGAAGGGTCACTCAACCTGAAATGTTAACTCTGATTTCTCTCCACAGATGCTGCCAGACATGCTGAGCTTTTCCAGCAATTTGTTTGATTTAGAGCATCTGCAGTTCTTTTCAGTTTTCTCCAAGGTATGAGCCTGGACCTCAGGATTGCTAGTTTGCTAGATCACATTACAACATCATCTCTTTCTCCCAAAGTGCTGATATAACATTTTTCTCTGCAATAACTCCAGGCACACGAGGATCATTTGTGACTTTGTGTTTGCTGTGGTTGACATTGGATTAATGAGACAAAATTGAGAACCTCTTAGTGACAGCACCATGTTAAACAGTGTGCCAAGAAATTGAAGATGCTGCATTGTTGGGGTTTTTTGTCTTGAAATTTAATCATTGTTGTTATCCTAAAGTTAGAACGATGTACTGAATCGGTTCTAGGTTGCTACGTGCATCTTTATTTTTAGAAATACTTTTGCAGCATTACTGAATGTGAAATGTTACTTTACCCTAAGTCTCTCTGCTGTTCCTTTCCGCATCAGTAATCTGCAGTGGGAAAAACTTTCGAAACCCACTCTCAGTAGCTGATGTATTTGACAATATTTTCTGCAGATGTCCTTGAGAGTATTTCACGCGGTAAAAGTTGCTGTTCTAAATGCATATTATTCTCTTGCAGCCGTTGATCCCGATTTCCCTGATATTGGTAAGTTGTTTATAAATGCCTTTTACGTGGGAATGGTTTCATTAGAAATGTTTCCTTTCACTTGACCCTGTATTTGTAGGCTATTGTTTTGTGTTTACTTGGCAGTTTTCTTTGACCCGATTCAAGAACAGAACTGAACATTTTAGGAGTATCATTCTAAGTACTTGACTTAGAACTACTTGTATACACATGACCTGAATGATGAATTAGTTTTGAATAATGTGGTACTTGCTGCTTAATGTGAGCATGTTGATGCTAGCATTAATTCTATTAATTAAAATAATTATTGCATTAACTTCATTCAAATGCTGTTTTTATCCCTTACCCAACACTTTCATATTTAAAACTTTTTTTCCCACATGATGGCAAAAATCTTTCAGATAATTATCTGCATCTTCTTTCACTCTGCGCTGCCTTTATTTTCTAGTGTATTCACAAGTTGTACCAACTAACAACTGGTTTCTGTCCCCACAAAAGAGGTCCAATTACCAATTTTTTCCATGTTTAAAAAAAAATTTACACCTCCGGATGTAGATTTCTGGTGGGTTTTCCACTTCATGTGGTGATCCATAACCTACATTGCTTATTTTAAAAAATATCTTGAACTGTCACTACTTTTTTTCATAGAATCCTCACAGCGTGGAAACAGGCCCTTTGGCCCAACAAGTCCACACCGACCCTCTGAGCATCCCACCCAGACTCAACCCCCGTAACCCACCTAATCTACACATCTCTGAACACTGTCGGCATTTTAGCATGGCCGATCCACCTACCTTGCGCCTCTTTGGACTGTGGGAGGAAACCCATGCAGACACTGAGAATGTGCCAACTCCATACAGTTGCCTGAGGGTGGAGTTGAACCTGGGTCCCTGGCACTGAAACAGCTGTGCTAATCTCTGAGCCACCATGCCACCCCAAGGCTTTCTGAAAATCCAAATTGTATTGTATAGTATTCTGGTGAGTTTGTGTTTAGCCAGACCACGACCGCAACATCAGTTGAATTTATTTTAAGCACACTCTTCCTAGTTATTAATCTGTATTAGCTGTAAACTAGATCTCTGCCCATAAGGGCATAGGCAGTCTGAATAAGAACAGGCCAGACCATGCCACTCCTCAAGCTAACTCCTCAATTTTAGTAAGATCATGGCTGATCTCTAAGCTACAACTTGATATCTTTCTCAATCCTTTGCCTTCTGAAGGTATTTAATGATGGTAATCAATATAACTTGGCAACACCACTGAACAATATATTATCAAAAATGCAATTTCTCCTTGACGGCAGCTCTGACTAGCACATTGCCGAACTTGACCAAATTCAACTTGACAGTCCCAGTAAGGGTTATTTCAGAAGTAGATGTCCTTTGCTTATCCTGGCAGGCTAAGGACAAGAGATCTAATTGCAACCAGAATCGACTAACCCTGCATAGGGCAAGGTTTGGAATGTGAAAACTTAAGGTTAAATCTTGCTCCTACTTAATTATTACTATCTTTATTCCGATCATCTGACCATTTTGTTTACTTTGTAGATTTAGATTTTGATCCCAAGGTTCCTGCACCCCCAAAGGATCGCAATAACAATCGTAAGTTCATGCATGACTCCTTTTGAGGGATTTCATGATCCATCCATTTTCCTTTCTCCTTACAATTTCTTAAGAACTTCCTGACAGGAGACCTGAGGTCCTTTCTACCTCCAGTGAAATAATTTCAAGCCATGTTTATTATTGCAATGTGGGAAACAAAGCAGCAAGTTTGTGCATTGCCTCCTTAAGCAGCAGTGGGGCAATTGGAACAGTAATTTTGGTTAGGGAGTAAGTATGGGCTAGGGGTGGGAGGGGTGCAGAGTCCTCTATTCTTCAAGTACTGCTGTGCAACCTCTGTCCATGTAAATTCAGCATTGCCTACAGTGCAACATTCTCTGTTCTGAGATACCAACCAAAACCACGTGCTGAATTCTGAAGGTCTTTAGGGCACAAGCTTCTGCTCCAGAGGCAAACGTGCCAGTGCTGAGCCTTGACTTGCATTAAGTTCTTTTTTCCAAATTGTAGAGGAGTTGTTGATTAAATGTAGTTAGCCCCATTTGTGGACCTAAGTGCACAATCATGATTGACAATCCAGTATAGCCTTGAATGCCTGTGATGCTGTTTGGAACCAACTACTGCATAAGATGTTGCATCAAGTCTAACGTGTTCTGGTAGTTCTTGTATAGATGTTTACGATCTCACGGCACAGTTCACCGGCAAAAACAGGAAGGAATCCGGTTTTCCTGACAAATTTCCAACCCCACCCATTCCCATATCAACAGCCCAGAAAACAGGAATTTCTGTTTGTGGGCTTTTTTAAAATTTGTTTGTGGGATGTGGGTGTCGTTGGCTGGTCAGCATTTCTTGCCTGTCCCTAGTTGCCCTTGAGAAAGAGGTGGTGAACTGCTGCAGACCACCTGCTATGGGTTGACTCTCAATGCTGTTAAGGAGGGAATTCCAGGAATGTAGAGACAGGAATTTCTACAATCTGCTTAATCTTTGAACACGATGGTTGTGGGGGCACAACCCTCCGGAATACAGGATTCCAAAAATCTGCTACCCTCTGAGTGAAGGAATTCCTTCTCAGTTGTGTATCTCGTTCCCCTTTTATTCTGAGACTCTGTTTCCTGTTTTCCACAGTAACCCCAACCCATCCAAGGCAAATATTCTTCAGTGTAGATACAAAGAATATTGTAAGTTTGTTTTTAATGAATACCACCTGTCATTTTTCTAAACACTTCGAAAATAAAGGCCCCTGTTTCCTCAATCTCTCTCCTCACAGGACAGTCTGACCATGCCAAGAATCTGGTGAAACTCCTCTGCACTCCTGTTTGTGGCAAGTGCATCCTTCCTTGGGCAAGGAGATCACAATTGCTCACACAGGTGTGATCGAGCCATTGCTGCCTGCAACTTGACTCTGATTTGTCCAGGGGAGTGTAACCCACTGTCTTTTAGTAGCACTGTCCTTTGTGTCGAAGTCATGGGTCCGAGCTTCACTTGTAACAAGTGCACTACGCAGTCTTGACAGTGTAATTTGGAAGGTGTCGTCTACCTTCAGACAAGGCCTCATCTGTTCTCTAGAGTGGATGTTTTCAAGAAAAACAATCCTATTCCACTTTTCTAAGATGTAGGTTATCCTTGTTACTATTCATTCCTCAGCCATCCCCATTCCCCACTAGTAGGGGAATCTCAAGCTAGAGGATGTAGTTACAGAATAATAGAACATAGAACAGTACAGCACAGTACAGGCCCTTCGGCCCACGATGTTGCCGAACTTTTACCCTAAACCGAAGGTCTATCTAAGCTCCACTGCTACCTTGTACTGATAAGGGGTCACTCATTTAAAACTGAGATGCAAAGGAATTCCTTCTCCGTAGGCAGGCGATATCCAGGAGTTGAGGGCTATGAGGAGTTGGAACAAAAGAGCAGTTGAAGTCTGGGTTAGACCAACCATGCCATTATAAAATAATGAGGCAGGGTTGACCAGCCTACACCTGTTATTTCTACTGTTCTTGAAATTTTTTTCTAAATGGATTACAGCACCCAGCATGGTAGTTGTGAAAACTTTTTGTTCTGCATTTGAGAAGGCGATAGCTTTGTCATTGTAATAACACCTTTCAGATTTGTTCCTTTTCTAAATGGTACACCTGATGAAGTTGGACTTGTTAACGCTACTTTCTGTCCATAGATGTTGCCAGACCTGTTGTTTCTTCAGCAATTTCAATGTTGCTTGTTTCAAATCTCAGTTCTAAAATGGTTCTTTATTTCATTCGCTAATCTCACATATATCTAAAACAATATAACTCTGAAGAAACTTGTCTCAACTAATAACTTGATTGCACAACTTGATGTTTATTTGTGATAGTCCAATCCCTTATGTGGATTCCTTTGAATACTATCTGAATCTGCTAACTTCACTTGTCCCTTTTTTGCCCCAGCTGATGAACTTGATTTAAATGATGCCCTTGATGGTGAAGGTAAGTACAAATGTTTTAAATTCATTGGTATGATAATGAAATGTAATTTACCCTTTCAGTAATGCTGATTTAACCATGGGCAGACATTAAATTGAAAATCTAAAATGTGAATTGCTTCAATTGGGCAGGATGAATTATACTGAATCTAAATCTTCTGTATCTGTGGGAAGATTCAAAGCATTTGGTAGCCTAGTGTTGTATGGTATGTAATGAATGTGAGCCTGTTTATAGTAGAATTCAGTCTCTCCTGTAATTCTCTTTTTTTGAGTTTCATACGGTTAATGGAACAGACAAAACCTTTTCTCATTGTTTAGGACCCCTTCAAATAAATATTGTTGGTACAAGCTTATGTATTTCAGCAGTCACTAAACTTTCTACCTTTAATTTGTCAAGTTTTCATATAGTTGGCTTCATTGCCCATTCAACTGGCCTAGTCAGATTTCATTCTGAAGGAGGGTCACTGGACCCAAAATGTTAACTCTTTCTCTCCCACAAATGCTGCCAGACCTGCTGAGATTTTCCAGCAAATTTGTTTTTGTTTCAGGTATCTAGCATTTGCAGATCTTTTTGTATTTTTTGGTTCCAATTTTATTGCTGCTTTTAATTCCCACCATGTATGTACTCAACAATGGTATCCCTGTTATCTGCCTCTGTTTTGTTGTCAGTCCAACACTGAACAGTATTCCAAAGTTTGTGGCTCAGTTGTGGCCACTTTGCTCACAAGGTTCTGGGGGAACTGTTACCTTGAATTTCTGCTTGTTTGTATGTCAGTGAGCAATTCATTCAACCCCAGCTTTATCATGAAAGGGTGGCACGGTGGCTCAGTGGTTAGCACTGCTGCTTCACAGCACCAGGGACCAGGGTTTGATTCCAGCCTTGGGCAACTGTCTGTCTGTGTGGAGTTTGTACATTCTCCCCGTGTCTGTGTGGGTTTCCTCTGGGTGCTCCAGTTTCCTCCCACAGTCCAAAGATATGCAGGTTAGGTGAATTGGCCATGCTAAATTGCCCTAGGTTAGGTGGGTTATAGGGGGACGAGTCTGGGTAGGATGTTCTGAGGTTTGGTGTGGACCTGTTGGGCCGAAGGGCCCGTTTCCATACTAGGGATTCTATGATTAAATATTTAGAGGATGTGAGCGTGTATATTTCTTCTTGGTTATTAAGGGTTCAGCCCCCTTCTATTCTGTGCTCAAGAATATACATGAAGCTATTGACCTTAGCAAAATGCACTGTTTTAGAGAATACCTTGGCACATTTATAATCTGCTCTCGAACAGTGATGGACTTCAAACCTCAAACAGTATTTTTACTCTTGTGACAGACAAATATACTCCAACAAAGCTTCCGAAGCAGCCAGCTAACGGTGACCCAGGTAACGAAACAAGATTTTTGATCCACCATAACTTTTTGCTTTTGAAGAAAAGTTGCACTGTCTTCAAAGTTCTGGAATGTTTTAAACTGCTTAATTGGAGTGAAATCAGCACTGATGCCTCAATGTAAAGATAAAATATGCCCTGTCAAGTCCCTTAAGAATCTTGTTTTAACATAAATTTATATGTTACTTTTTATAATATAATATAATATAATATAATGTAGTACCACATGGAATTTCACAACAGCTTTTAAATGTGAAGTATTGGGCACCTAACCACAAGGATATAATTGGCCTGGGTTTCACTCCTGAGGTGGGTATGCTGAACCAGAGCTAGTGCCAATACCTAGTGACTCCCCTACTTATCCCTAGGACTCTTTATAATATCTGTGCCAACCCAAGATCACCCCATCCATCACCGCCCTTATGCACTTAATGCCAACTTACCTAGAATGTACAGATCTCGGGAGCTTCGTTGAGAAGAAATTAAGTTCTCTGTATTTATTACAGACATGAATGTGTACAAGTGTATGTACCTCATATATATTAAAAAAAAATCAGTCATGAAAGCAATTTCGATGCAGTTAAATTCTCTCGAGTACTTAGTTCCTTCTTTTAGCTCCACATCAAAGACAGCTAATCCTTTAAACTCTGAGCTGTTGATCAGTAAACTTTCAGCTCATCTACAATGATAAAAAGATCCTGGAAAGTATCCTAGTGCTAATAATATTATAATGGCATCACTTGGGATTACGTCAACAAATAGTTATTGAAATTGGTAGCAGTTATTTTAAAAACAAAAAAATCTCAGACAAAGGCAGTTTTTCATTTTTTAAAGACTGGCAACTTGACAGTTCTGCAGCCCTTATCTGCATTTCACAAGCATTTGCCACTATTCTAAAGATTCTTAGCTCAAACACAACGGGGTGAAGTTCTTGCTGTAGTGAAGGTGGCTTCCATTTGAACTCTACTCTAAATCAAAATACCTGGAAAGAATTGAGTAATGAACCTTTCAAAGTAAAGACAGCTTTGATACTTTGCTTGGGTTGAGTAACTGCAGTGAATGTTGCTGGGAAAAGCTGTTGAAGCTATGTGCTTTTTGTATAAAGATCTTTGTGAGTTGACATATGTTGTGTTTTATAGCATGGTCTGTTAGCTCAGTTGGCTGCATGGCTAGTTTGCAATGCAAAGGGATGCTAACAGCATGGGTTCAATCTCTGCATGGGACGAGGTTGCCATGAAGGGCTCACCATCTCAACCTCCCCTTCACCTGAGATGTGGTGACCCACAGGGTAAAACGCCATCACTCATTTCTAACGAGAGCAGTCCTGGCAAGGTCATTATAGCATTTAAGGAATTTTCTGTCATACTTTTTCTTTATTGAAAAAGCATTGCAGCCCCATGTGAAGATATTCAGTAACTGACTGCCATGTGAACAGATTTTAAAATGATAAAACTTATGGTTTGTCAAGCCAGGTTTCACACTGGAATTGGATTATTACCATCAGCTGGGATCATAATGCTGCTTGGTGCTTTTTTAAGCCCCTCCCATTCTGATGTAACTGGAGGTCCATTGCAGCACTGCTGCCGCCCAATGGCTGAGTTGACAGCTGGATATGTATCTTGGAATCGTGACCAATCTGTGCCAGAAAACGATGTGAATGGTACTGGCTTTAATGTTTTGGAGCAAGTGCTTCCTCGGTCTCTAGGAACATGATACTCACTCAGTGTTTGCTTTTAATTTGGCAGATCGTCAGTTTGGGGACCTAGACCTCGTGGATGCTGCAGGCATCAGCCCTGACAAAGGTAATACTCGCGTCTTTATTGGGTTCTTCTACAGTGTGCAAACACTTGAATAAATGGGTCACCTTTCAGACTGTCAAAGTGTGTAACTAGTTAAGGATTTGTAAGGAATCTGTGCTGAGTCCTCGACTATTTACAGGATCAGAATTTTTATGGGACAGAAGAAGGCCATTTGGTCCATTGTGTCTGCACAATCTACTTTAATTATTTGAATGAAGCAATTGGCTGCAGACTTTGAAGCCAGGACCAAATTATCTTCCGATATGACACCAGTCAAGTGATATATGTAACAAAGGCATAAGTTTATCACTGCTGTTTAATCTCTCCACCGAAATGTTAGCCATTTCTAATATCTGGCTTTAGTTGCATAGTACAGGCCCACCCTTCATTCTATGTTGCACAATGTTGATGAATTCCTGAAAATGTTCACTGAAGGTGGAAATATTGATATAGCATTATTATAAAAGTATTACTTTTTGTTGCTTGCTGGACACGTGTATTTTGTGTTGCATAGCTGCTTCTATCTGAGATAGCAGTGTGTAGTGATCATTGACCTATGAACGGGGATGGAAGCTGCATGGATTCAAGATGCGTTCTCTCAACGGGAGCATCAAATTTATAAAAAAAAACTTAGTGCTTTCATTTAAGGAAACCAACTCTTGCACGGCTGGGCCAGCAAGTGAGGAGGCAGCAAGGAGTTTGCAAACTGCAACTGGGATGTCGGGTTCAGAGAGACTAAGGCAGACTATTTAAGGTTCCTCTTGCTGTAAATTGACTTTTTTGTTCCCTTTGCTATAACATCAAAATTGTTCCTTTGTTTAAAAGTCCTCTGAAATATCCTCTGCCTTGTTGCCTATTCAAGTCTTGTTTTCTAAATAAACTACTTGGTTAACTGTACGTTTTGGATCTCTGCTCACTATCCTCACTCTCTGTATTTAACTTTTCTGTTTGGTGGCATAGAATCCCTACAGTGTGCAAACAGGCCATTCAGCCCATCAGGTGACACTGACCCTCCTGAAGAGCATCTCACCCAGACCTATTTCCCATGGCTAACGCACCTAGCCTGCACATTCCTAAACACTGGGCAATTTAGCAATGGCCCATCCACCTAACTTGCATGTCTTTGGCCACTTCCCCTCAATTATTCTTTTGTTTTGAATAGAGCTGTAAAATATGACCATCTTTACACATTTGTTTGAGCAATCTAACTTCTTTAATCTTTTTCAGGTGATAGCCAAGGAAGTGATCAAGGTATGGCTATTATGTTAATTTTGAATTAAAATAACCCATTTTAAAGACAATCCAATGAGGTTGCAATTCAGACAACTCAAGCCCTCTTCAGGTTTCAGGATCTTATTTGCTAGAAGCACCCAATTTTTCTCAGCTTACCAAGGCATTTGCAAGTGGAGGATCTCAAACCCCATGGTTAGTCAACAGTGATTGACAAAGTAGATAATGGGAAGAAATCATAGTGTCCAGTGCAGGTCATAAGACCTGATTTGCACAGGCAATGTCAAACTTTGAGCAATTTTCACATCTGTGGGACATCCCAAAGTGATTTAATCATGCTTCCATCTTATTTGGGCAGCTGTCTGAGCCTGAAATGTCCAGTAGAAGCAACAAGAATGGACTAGTAATTCCATCCCATCTCTTCTTCCCCCCACCCCCTCATGGAGGGAGCTGTGCTCTCCAAGAGCGCACGAGTCAGTTGCTTACCTCTGCCATCCCTGATCTTCATAATGTTCCCATTGTGACCAGCAGCCTGTGGCTTCAGTTGATTATTGAGATTGAAAGGTAACCCCAGCGCTAATGACGTGCTAATAACTTGACTTGCCTCTCTGCTTGCCGTTGTAACACATCCACAATGTCTGTCCCGCCAGGCCTTGTGCAAACTGATTCATGTCTGGCTGCAGTCTTAAAATCAGAAACGCAGAGGCAGAGCCGCAAGGACCACTGCCTGTTAAGCAGCAGCTTGACTGTGATGCCTGTTTCTCCGAGGAGCTGACTGACTGATTCAAAAAGTCAGAAGGACTAAAACAGACAGCGTACTTATGATTGGTGCAAACTTGAGTTTGCACAAGGTTGTCTGAAGGAAAACCATAAGAAATAGGAATAGGTGTAGGTCATTTGGCCCCTTGAGACTGCTTCAAGCCGATGGATTATAGCTGAGCTGGCAATTGTCATAACAAGGTGTAGAGCTGGATGAACACAGCAGGCCAAGCAGCATCAGAGGAGCAGGAAGGCTGACGTTTCAGGCCTAGACCCTTCTTCAGAAATGGGGAAGGGAAAGGGGATTCTGAAATAAATAGGGAGAGAGGGGGAGGCGGAT